TAAATATAAGTTAAGTGATAGTACAATAAAAAATATTAATGGTTTTTATTCTGTTACCTCAAATTTATAAGATTTGTAGGCTGGTCACTTTACGTTAAATAAAACTAACAAATTCTGATTGAAGATGCTTTGTTGTAGTAACAGATCCTTGTACCAACAAATCCAAACCCATTGGGTACAATTTGATCCCCATATTTCCGGTAAATTCTTTTGTAAATGACTTTTAAAAATAGCTTCAGCAGATGGCTCATTAGGCTTATAGTCCTATAGTATTCAAAAACTTTTGCTCTTGGTTTTTTTGGTACAGTTTTGGAACTCAGATTTGAGCCACTCTACTGGTATTTTTTCTTCCTTTTATATTTCATTAAATATTTTAATTCTTATTTTTATTTGTTCTGCATTTAATAGCCTTAGCAGTTCTGCAGGAATTTCATCAAGTCCCGGTGCTTATCCATTTTTCATTTGTCTAACGGCTGCCGTTATTTCTTATGGTAAGATTTCGGGACCTGAATTTCCTTCACTGGTGGGTTCTAGTATTGTGCTAAAACCGTGGGAAAGTTTCCCCAAGTGTTTTTCCCATATTTTCTTTTGTTATGGCAAAATTGCCTTCAGCCTCTGTTATTTTTCCGCTGTTGCGTTTTTGGAACTTTTCATCAGCTGTTTCCTTTACCTTTCAATGGACGTTAAAGCTATCATGTCGACTCTAATACTTCTCTATTTCATAACATTGTTCTGTTTTTTTTTTCTCTCTTTTACTTCTCTTATCTTTCTTCTGACGATGGTATGTATTCTCTTATAGTCTTGGAGATTTTCTTTGTTGTTTTTTCTCTGATTTATAAATTAAATTATTTCATCGGTCATCCACGATTCCCGTGTCTTTATACTTTTCTTCAGGTATTGTTCTTTTATTTCTCTCACTTTTTGTTGTATGATTGTCAGAGTTTCCTCTATATTTCCTGCATTTCTGCATTTTAGCATGTTTGTATTAAGGTTTTCACTTACCTTTAATCAAACCTTCAGTTTTCTAAGAGCATACTTCTTCACCGACTTACTTGTAAACTTCTTTATTCTAACTTTGAAATTACCTTCTGGTTACATGAGCAGAATTTATGTCTGCTCACATTTTGGGGCATGTTTTGACAGATGTACAGCTGTTCCCATTCCTCTTGTTCACTAACATGTAATCAATCTGATTTCTTACAATCGTTCCCTCAGAATCCTGTGAAGATTTCCAGGTGTACAAGTTCCTTAAATGTAGCTTAAACCAGGTGTTCATTATTACTAATTGATTTGCTTCCACAAACATCTCCAATGTATCTCCTTGATCGTTTTGGTTTTCTAGTCCAAATGCTGCTGACCCCAACTTTGGCGCTGAAGTCACCCATGACACTTATTAGGTCTTGCTTTTCAATAATTTGAATAATGCTATAGTGTAGTTATTCTACTTTTTCTTCTGTTCCTTCTATTGTAGGTGCAAACACTTCAATTATATAAATGTCGATTGGTCTTGTTTTAAGTTGTATGAGCATCACTTTTGCTGAGATTAGCATGAAGCTGTCAACTGATTTTGCCACTTCTTTTGTCAATATAATTCCGATACCTAATTCATGTTTTCCGTTATCTGTTCCGGAATAGTAAACGCGATGTTCTCCGATATTTGTGGTCAACGCATTTAGATTATTCCCAGACTATTTAATTTTATATGTGCCATTTCTTGTATTGCATTATGGATTTTACCTTCCTTTGCCATGATTTTCACGTTCCATGTGCCTATTCTAATATTTTCTTTACATTTTAATCTTTTTGTTATACTTGTAACTGCTCTTCCCGGAGATCCCATTGAGGGGCTTACTCCGGATTTGAATTTCGCTGCAAGCATATAGATTTGATTCTACTAGGACTTATCCAATTCGGATCTTTAATAAGGTGTATTAATAAGGTAATAATATATATATATATATATATATATATATATATATATATATATATATATATATATATATATATATATATATATATATATATATATATATATATATATATATATATATATATATATATATATATATATATATATATATATATATATATATATTCTTGTGATATTTAAAGTCTTAGTGCGCCAAGCAATTGATTAGCTAATTAGTTAATTAATTAATTAAAATTATTTAAATGATATGATTATGACTCTATCACACTTTTTAATTCTCATATCTCAGGGTTAAATTCGTGCTTCAATATCTATGCTATTACATGTGAAAGGTAAGGTCCAATGAATACCGGAATAATAAAAAAATAAATAGGATCTAACATTATATATTTAAATAAAAAATAATGAAATAAAATTCACACTCAAATGTTTTCAATAAACAATATCTCATATAATGATTCTTAAAATTTTGTTCTACGTACGTGAACCTTCAAAATTATTGGTATAAACAATATTAGTTGAAATCTCAAAATCATACATATTATTCTAAACCTCCTAATCAAAATATTTATATCCTTTCTAAATTAAGTGTAAAAATTGTGTTATCAATAAAAGAAAAACTGCAGAAAACAAAACTACCTCTCTCTGATGATGAGTGGTCCAAATCCGTTGTAGACTATATTATCTACTCTCAGCCGCTCCCTAGGTAATAAGCAATCTTACAACAAATTATTGCAAGTTTATCGTCCTTAATGATCTCCTTCAAATGCACGAATCGTTCAAATTATGCTAGCTTCTTCTTCTCTCAATAATCTGAATCTCTCGTTGGCCTGAGTGAAAAATGACTCTTGGAATATCTTTTCTTTACGATAAACTGAATCTCTCGTTGGCCTGAACAGTGACTCTTGGAATATAAGTAGAAAATATAACTTACAATCTTTTACTGGATCAGCTTCTGTCAGATACACTAACTACACAAAAACTCACAAACTTTCACTGCTACTGCTTCCTACCTCTGGGAAACTACCCGAGAACAACGGCCGTTCGCCTTCTACCCTTGGAAACCAACCAACTATCTTTTTTATTTAAAAAACTAACTAAAGTCTTATTCTTAAACCAATCATCCCACCTTTTTCAATCTCATCCAATCAAAACGCGTCATCCATCTCCCATTTTTTCATTTCGATAACAAACAAATTTTTACTTATAATTATAAAATTTCCTAAAACTTATTTACAAATAATATTTTTCTACAATTCTTAAAAACTAACAAAAACCTATCTTTCTAAAATATATTCTATTGTCCTAATCACTGCACTAATGTATTTGGAAAACCCGGTTCAATTGTCTTTTATTTCACTTAAGCTTATTCACGTCATACAAATATATTTTAATAAAGAAAATAATTTATGCATATCTTACGTTTTGTTAAATACAGGTAATCCAAAAATTTAAAGACTTTCCTTCTTCGAAATGTTTGTCGTTTATTAATTCGACTTATCTGAATTATTTTAATTATTTGAACTTTGAAATATTTTTAAACAAACCGATATTTTCTTGATTTTACATATCATAACAATATATATATATATATATATATATATATATATATATATATATATATACATATATACTTCATCTAATTTAGATAACGACTTACGTCATTATCTACGTCAGAGATCAAAGTTGACATAGTTGCCAAAGTATAAAAAAATTCTGACTCCATTTTAAACCAAATAGATTACATAATTATTGCAAAACTATTACCATCTATTTACAACGACTATTTAAATTCTTACGTGACATTTTTGAAATAAAACACACTAATTTTGTTCTAAAAAAAAACAGATTTTATTAAATAGTTAAAAATATAAAACAAGAGATATTCACTTTAAAATTCAAAGTAATGAAGTACAAAAAGTGTCAACACCGCAACTGTCAAATAAGTGTTACCAATATATGCCAAAATTTTACCTTCGTTCGATTACAGTTACAGTGTGTTCCGAATAAATGTTCTTGATAAAAACGCTTTATAATGCATTTATACAAATTAAATGAAACATATTATTGTGTATCTCTTTAAGTTAACATTAATAGAAATTTTTAAATATTATTTCTACGCGTATATAATAAAATATGTCTAGTGGCTGTAATGCCAGTCTACTCCGTAAAGTGATTCTAAAAAAGAAGACACCTACACCCTAAATATTTTGTGTTGGTATCATGTGACGTCACAGGCTATGACGCCGATGACGTGCATCGTTATATAAATTAGATGGAGTGTATATATATATATATATATATATATATATATATATATATAATATATAATATATACTATTACCTGATATATAGGTAAAAATAGGTAATAATGTATATAATATTCGGATCTTTAATAAGGAAGAAGTCGGGTCCAGGAAGAAGAAAATGCGCCTGGTTGAAGAATGTAAGAGACTGGACAGCCATGAACACACATTCGATACTAAGAACACCTCAAGATAGAGAGCAATTTGCTGTAGTTATGGCCAACCTTCAGTTTCCCAACTCCAGGAAAAAGGGGTCCCCTACCGTTTACTAACTCCTTCACCTGAAGCTGTTGGCCAGTAAACGAGGGATTGCTTATACCGGCAATCGCTCGGTGAAATTTTCGCCATATCTGGCTACCCTCACTTAATTTGAGATCTAAGGACCAGTTATCAAGAACCATCTCTCGCCTATGATGCTCGATGTAGTCGTTCCAATAAACGGTGCTACCTAGATAACACAACTCTACACCGCTTAGATTTAATATCATAATTTCTTATAATTTTCCATTTAATAATTTCACGCTTATGACCCATTGAGATTGACGCATAAAAAAATTTCAATTTTAAAAATTACAAATATTTATATTGATTTTATTATTTTCATGTAAAAAAATTGTTAAGTAACGTAATATGTCATCTTGGGCTTGTTTTTTGTTTATGATATAAAATACTTGATAAATTATTCTTTCTTATTTTTACTATAAGAGTAAATATATCTTACTTATTCTTACTATAAAATATTTATATATTTTTTTTCTTTTCAGATATTCCTAGTCGCCATATTCCTCACTATTCATTCTGCACTTTCAGAAGAAGATGAGGAATACAATGATGTGTCTCCGCCATTACCAAAAATAAATTTAGACTCCAACTTACGAAGAGCTCTTTTAAAAGCTTTAACTGAACTTGAAAATGAAGAAAAAGAAAAAGCTCAGTATAGTGTAGTTAGCAATTCCGAAGAAAAGATAGTGGAAAAGGCATCAGCAGCCTCAGTCTCGATATATGCTAACGCTGATTCTGTAACAGCTTCACCAACTCCACCTAGTACGACAATTAACACTGACCAAACTACGTCAGAAACGTACAACGTAATTCTTCAGAAAAGTGAAGCGATTCAACAAAAACCAATTACAAACCTTGAACAAGGTGAAGATGCTGAAAGTATTTTAACCAGCGCTTCTAACAATTTCGCAGATCAATCTTTTGGTAAAGATGCTCAATCCGAAAAAAGTGAAGCAAATAGTCAAAACTCTATATTTAACTCCGAAAAAACAACAACAAGACTTTCTAAGCCTCAAACTACTACCATTCCTCCTCCCAAAGTATCCACAGAAGAGAGTGAAGCTAAAGCTGAAGATGTACAGTTCTTTTCAGCTCCTTTAGTAGCAGCATTTACTGTACATCAAGATGAATTGGGTTTACCTAAAAGAGTTGAACCTATTTTCAGGCTAGCTAAAACTGCAGAAGAAATAAGAATTGAAAACGAACAACTTAAACTAGTTAAAAAATTCGAAGAAGAAAAAATTGCTAATGAGCAGATTCGACTAGAAGAACTGCGAAAGACCCGCGATAAACTCCAAATCCAGCAAAAGCAAAAGGCATTGGAAGAAGAGATAGTACGTTTAAATTTAAACTTAAAACAACAACAGGACTTTTTATTAAGACAGCAAGAAGATTTTCGTCTTCGCAATAATGCTCAATCATTTGGACCAATTATTAACCCCCAATTCTCCACCCCTTCACCCGTATTGAATTTGGTCCAACAACTACCGTCTTCTGCTAGTCAAGTATTTAAACCAAACTTAAATTTAGTTCAACAATTACCCGTTGTATCTAACGTACAGCAGTTTAAAGCTCAAGCAGTAACTATACAGCCAAGTTTGTCATTTAATTCATTACCAGATGGTGGAAAACTGCCACATAATGCTCAATTTCTTCCAGTAAAGGGCCCAGTAGATTTTAGAACTCCATTCGCTGCAAATAATATTAACCAAGCGCATTTTCCTCAGTCAAATAGTTTTAATCAACAGACATCCAACACGGTAAATCAACAGAATCAAAACAGCAACAGATTTTTTAGACAGAACAACGCCTTTGGTAACTTTGGAACAAACGATTTTAGTACCAATACAAATTCTTTCTCAATTCAACCAGCAATTCAACAAAACTTTAATAATGGTCAAAGTAACAGATTCTTTAGATCAAACACTGAATCTACTTTAACAGCACCTCAGTTTCTTCAGCCACCTCATCTTCCAACACACCAACAAAGTAATCGATTTTTTAGGTCTAACTTAGAAAATCCATTCAATTCCAATCAAGCTAACAACAATTATCAGTTATCAAATCTGTTATACACATCTGGAGCATTTCGAGGAAAATCGCCGGAAGATCTTAGCCTTATCAGTAAAGTTTTATCCCTAAACCATGTTGGTGGTAGAAATCCAGGAATTTCACTCAGGCCAGAACTGCAAGGATCTTTTGGAAGGAACTTTTAAGACCTTGGAGAAAGAACAAATTATTTATTTATTATGTAGTGAACCAATATAGTCATAATTGTAAGTGAAATTGTATAAGATTGCCATCGTTAAGTAACATTTCTAGTTCAAAACAAAGTCATCTGTCCTTCTGTTTTTAGTATCTGGTTAAAAGTACAGAAAATCAAGATGTTTCTGTTTTGAGCTATTTTGTTATATTATGTTTTTGTTGTAAACATTTATTATTCTGTTATATCTATAACTAGGTAATCGTTATTTTACTTTTCTTTCTAATTTACACACTTTAATTCGGAGAAAACTTTAATACCTAGTACAAAAATAAATAAAAAAAATATATACGAAACAAAAAACTCTTACTTCTCTTAATTAGAACTATCTTGATTGAATTTGATTGTCCGTATTTAAACAGAACTATCAAATTTTTAATATTTTGAAATTAACTCAACTGAAAAATTAGTTGTAATTTTAAGTAAGATTTATTTTTAGTACAGTTAAAGTGTAGGATCTGTAAATTTATAAACTCATAAGTACATGTAGTGAAATTTTAAATTCTTCTTCTGCTTAGGGTGCCTGTTCGTTCCGAACGTTGGCGATCATTGGCTATGATGACTTTGTTGGTTGCTGTATTGAGGTCTTTCTACAGGTTGATTGATTAGTTTGAGGACGCTCAGTAGATCTGTTATACTAAAAATACAAAAAAAAGTTATTGACAAAAATTTTAGGCAGCTTTAAAGTCCACACTTTAAAATTAGTTACAATCTTACAGGGTGTTTCATAAGATGGTGGCAGACCAAACTTATGTTTTTTTAAATAGAACACACTGTATTTTATTTTAAATCTGCTTCACTTTCACATCACAACAATGTAAAGTTTTATTACGTTATACCAGATATTTAAAAAGTTTGTATAATTAAAAAGGAGTATAGGAAGATTGATCTATTGCAACCATTGTTTTTTAATATTTGTTAAAAATTATAAAACAAATTCGTTTTCATAATATTCGTTAAATCAAATACAGGGTAAGTCAAAATTAAAGTACATTATTTTCTTGGTAATTTTAAATAGAACAACCTGTATTTTATATTACTATCGAAAAGTACTAATATCGTACTTCAAATTTTATGAAGTACTCCCTATACCCAAAGTTATCAGTTTTCTAGATATTTTTATTTTTTCATCAAAGTATTAATTTAATAGATATTTTAACGTTTACCAATAATTATTGTGAGTTGGCCATGATTGATTTGTCAGAAACTGACAGTTTGACATTAATATTTATTAATTCAGTATTGGGGTACACCGTAAATTAGCAACAATTATTATTTAGTAATTCGGTAATTGATTCAATTTAAATTAGCAATAATGAATTTTACTACTGATGAAATGGTAGATATGATCTGAATATTGGGGGAATGCAATAAAAATTCATTACTATCAGCTAGAATTTATTAAGAACGGTTTCCAGATAGGCGACAACCTAGACAAGATACATTTTTTCATCAAAGTAATAATTTGGTAGATATTTAAACGTTTACCAATAATTATTGTAAGTTGGCCATGATTGATTTGTCAGATACTGACAGTTTGACATTATTGTTTATTAATTCAGTAATGAACTAACGACACAGGTAAATAACATATCCGACAAAGGTAATAAGAAATATCCCACAGAAAATTAAAAAAAAATAACAACACAGAAAAATAAAAAACAACAGTAATTTTAACTTATCTTACTTAAGTAAGGTGTTCAAAATGACCTCCCAAAACATCTATGCATACTTGAAAGCGGTCACTAAAGGACTTGCTTACATTACTAAGCATTTGTAAAGAAGTATTTTAAAATGCAATTCGGATTCTATTGTTCATATCATCGCTTGTTGTTGGAAGTATTTTATATACTTCATTCTTAACTTAACCCCAAAAAAATGAGTCCATTTTATTGAATTCTGGTGACCTTGGGGGCTACCTTACCGGTCCGTCCCTTCCTATCCATCTTTCACCAAACTGATCATTAAGTTCACCACGTACTAATTCGTTGTGGTGCGCAAGAACACCCTCATGTAGAAACCACATTTGTTCACGTATATTAAGTGAAACTCCTTCTAATAATATCGGTAACTGATTAACGATAAAATCTAAATAATTAAATTTAAGTTATCTTCAAAAAAATATGGTCCTACTACATGGTTATCGACGATACCTCCCCACGCATTAACAGACCATCTTGTTTGACTATGTGTTACTATGTGGTATGGATTACTTGTTGAATAGTAGTGAAAGTTATGCCTATTAACAGAACCATTTCGATGGGATGTAGCTTCATCAACAAATAGGACATAACCAAAAAATCTCTCTGCTCATTAATTTTTTCTAAGGCCCGTTCACAACAACAACAACAATACTATGTGTTTTTGAAAATCATCATTATTTAATTCTTGGTGCTTTTAAGTATGATAAGGGTGCATCTTGTATTTAGACAGAATGTTTTGAACAGAGTAGTAACTAAGTTCTTGCTTATTGGAAATACTCCTTATACTTGTGAGTGGGTTTTCTGTAACTGCCATCAACACACTCATTTCGTTTTCCTCTGTCACACTAGTTTTTGTTCGTTCATGTTTTTCAAAATTCACTGAACCAGTGCGGTTAAATCGGTCATTGAATTTTTCAAATGTATCTTGTCTGGGTCACCGTCTATCTGGAAACCGTTCTTGATAAATTCTAGCTGATAGTAATGAATTTTTATTGCATTCCCCTAATATCCAGATCATATCTACCATTTCATCAGTAGTAAAATTCATTATTGCTAATTTAAATTGAATTAATTACTAAATTACTAAATAATAATTGTTGCTAATTAACAGTGTCATCAATACTGAATTAATAAACAATAATGTCAAACTGTCAGTTTCTGACAAAGCAATCATAGCCAATTCACAATATATTGGTAAACGTTAAACTATCTACCAAAGTTAATACTATGATGGAAAAATAAAAATATTTAGAAAACTGATAACTTTAGGTATAGGGAGTACTTCCTAAAATTTGAAGTACGATATTAGTACTTTACGATAGTGATATAAAATACTGGGTGTTCTATTTAAAATTACCAAGAAAATAATGTATTTGCATTTTGACTTACCCTGTATTTGATTTAACGAATATTATGAAAACGAATATGTTTTATAATTTTTAACAATTACAATCACTAAGTTCTCGAGATGAACCGCGTTGATAATTTAATGCTCAACGTTTCGGCACCCATTTTGGAGCCATCTTCAAGAGTGATACGGTTCCGTACGAGTTCGGGGTCTTAATTTGCCCACTACTCGCACTCGTGACATGTCAGTATCGTGTTCTGTATAAATACAAGAACCATCAAACGGCACTGAGGTCTCAATCTGCCTACTCCTCAGTGTCGAGTGACTCAACAGTTATCGCCAGTTTTAGGTCCAAAAAGCAGAACTTATTTATTAAAATTCTAATAGCTTTTTTACGTAAAGTAAAATCCAAATTTTGCTTTTTGGAATAAGTTTTGTTGAAAGAAAACGAAAGTGAAAATAGTTTTTCTCGATCTGGACTGGCTAAAAGTTTCAAAATAATGAAAATAGTCTTAGCGATTCTAACACAAATAATATCTACTATTTACTGAAATTTACACTTTAACTGTAAAAAGTTTATATTGCAACCCATATTTCTTATTTTATTTGGCTTTGAGAAAAAGCTTTTAATTTTACACTTAACTAATGGATTGCTATCTTTAATATAAAATAACATTAAACATTGTTTTTTATTTCCAAAGTTAAATCTCTCTCTGTCGTTCCATTCTCCATCGTTTGGGCCTCTCATACTCATGGCTTCATCTACTTTGTTCCTCCAGGATCTTCGGGGTCGTCCTCTTTTCCTTCTTTCTATGGGGCTACATTCGGTTATTCTTTTTATCCATCTGTTGCCGCTAGTTCTTCCTACATGTTCATATCACTTTAGTCTTTTTTGTTCTATATATGTTAGTATGTCTGTTTCTATTGACGTTCTCTGCTTTATTTAGCCATTACTTCACATATCTATTCGTGTTACTCTGCAGAATATTCGCAGGTGTTCCATCTCTCTTGCTACTATCTTACTGCTGTTTTTCTTGTTTATAATCCAATTTTCAGCCCCATATGTCATAATACTTCTCACTAATGTTTTATAAATCTGTATTTTTGTCTTCATATTTGGGTGTCTATCCCATCATACTGAGCAAAGTTGTCGGATTGTTTTTTTTTTGTTTTCGCATTTTCTTTTCTATGTAGTCAAAGCTTTCTCGAAGTATATTTTAAATAAGGTTGGAGATGTGAAACAATCCTGCAAGAGCCCTTTTGTTGTGGTGAAGTCTCCTATGATTCTTGTTCTCACTTTAATGGACACATTTTATTTTGTTTTATACAGAGCTTTTATAGCTTCTATGAATTTCGTCTGTATTTCTAATTTGTTCATTGCCTCCCATTGTACTTTTTTTAATCGTAACCTTTCCATATATATTTGTTCGTAAAGATTTGTCTGTATTTTTAACACAGTTAATTTATATAATTTTGAGTAAGACTAAAGTTCTTATATTATTCTTATCTATGTAAATTTTCAAAAGCATGGTTAAATCCATCATTTTCTGTAAATACTAAATGGTTTGCATGTATGAGACTGGTTTTTTGGTTGAAAAAACTATCTCTTTGTTGAGGTATTTGTTTTTGGACTACAGTCCATCAGTAAAGTATAAAACTATTAGTACTAACAGAACTAAACATTTGACAACATTAACATAGAAAAGACATAATTTTTAAGTCTCTTATTTTTTTTTTCAGGTATAGTAGGTCGTTAAGATTAAGATCTAATAGTAAATATTATTACCTATCGATTACAATTCCTGTACTTATTTTCTTATTTTTAATACTATTTTCTATTGTTCCATTCTAAACTACTGTAATTTTTAAACTGGTTTTACGGTTTTTACTATTAAAAAACGA